AAGTTTTGTGTGCGCCGGTTCTGTTGCGGAAAGAGGGTAGGTGGAGATTCCAGAGGCGCGTTCGGGCGCAGGACGTGGAGGGCTCTTAACGGCGGGTGTGGCGGGGCAAGCTGCGGGCGATCGGCAGGGGGCTCGCTGGCAGTCGAGGGTAGGTGATTACTGGGTGGATGGGAGTATGCGCAAGAGTCAGAGTGTCTCCGTGAGTCTTGTTAGTGAGCGTGCGTGAGCGTGATCATATATGAAGAAGCAAGTCGGTGGCATGCTCCAATGGCCGTGTCGCATGTGGCGGTATGCGCCAAGTCGAATACCGCTTTGCAGGGGTTTCTCAGGGTAGTCAGGCCTTCCCTTTTGCGTCTGCTCTGCATTGAGGACGGGTGCTTGCCGATAGTCAGCCCTAAAGGCGTGTGGGAGAGCTGGATTCGGTGCTTGGTAGATGAGCAACGTGAGAATTTGGACCTCGGCTTGAAACTCGATAAGCCCTACGACGCCTTCACACCAAAGTAGCTTCTGTGGCTGCAAGGAAGATCACTATTTGCTTATATAGGTATACCGATTCATGTCCCGATCTACTCGCCCAATACCCGTCCATCTCCGTCTGCCCAGTATCCATTACGTCCCAGAACGCCGTCGTAACCATGATAGATGCGATGCCACTCCCCGAGGACCCGTATCTAGGGTATCATTTGATCCAAAGGGGATATAGATTGGAAATAGCAAGACTCTAGAAGAGACAAAACGTAAAATCGTACATGTAGGAAGCTGGGATCAGCCGAAGATCCGGAGAAAGCCCCATAGCCCGGCTCCGCAAAGCACGGGGATGGTGAGATTGTCGTCCCAGCCAAAGACGTCGATCGCTTCACTGGCACTGGCGATGATGCCAGACGCCAGAGACATGGCGCCCAACGCCCAGTATCCGGTAAGGGAAGCCTGCTTCACGGTGAGAGCAAAAGTTTCCTGCGCCTGGGGAGGGAGCGTCAGGGCACCTTGGAATGCAAAAGCGTATTCGCCGTGATTGTACTCTGAGTAGAGAGGACCTAGCCAGCCCCACCATACGGCTGCTGTGATAACACCCGTCACGCACGCCGCGATAGAACCCGCAAGACTCTTGCCTTTCCTGACTCTGGGCGTGAGGTGGCCCCAGAGCCTGCCAAAAGTCGAAGCAGCAGTATCGCACCAACTCAGTAGTAAGATGCTCATGACTGCCATGTCCTTGGGGCAAAAGCGCATGACTATCCATGCGCCCAGAAGGTAGGAGATGACACCGTTGTATCCATCGACCTCTGACTCGCGCATGAAGGCACCGAGACACCGGATGTAGAAGCGATTCACTTGCCAGTAGCGGTGTCGGATGACGTCGGTGAGGGCGATGGGTATCAGCATGGTAAGGAGGACATTGTGTATCTGCGACGTTTGCGTGCCGGTGCAGTAGAGGAAGATGGTCAGGAAGCCGATGGAGACGTGGAGGATCTTGCGAGGAATCTCATGCCGGTGAATCTATTGATGTCAGTAATGAGCTTGCGAAGTCACCCTGTGTGTACTCACGAATGACCGCCATTTCTGGTGGATGGGAATCAAGCCTAGAGGACTCGGACTCCGGCTCATCTCCCTCCAGTAGTTCTTGTTGGCTTGCGCGGGTGACAGGTGGCCGTTTGAAGTGTTGCCAGGCAGCGCGAGATCCTTCTTCATGCCTCCATTCATCTGCCTACGGCTTGTCAGGCCGCTCATCCTCCGCCGTCCTACGCCTCCATCTAGGACAGGACTCCGGCTTCTGGCATTCCGGCTCCTTGCGCGAGCCCTCATGTCGGGGTCTGATCCTGAGTCCTCATCGATAGGCGGGGGTGACGTAACCCGTTGTTTGCGCGTCGAAGAGCGCGTCACGGGGCCGAAATAGCCATCTTTCGTACTGCCCGCCTCTGAGGGCGTTGGTGACGGCGAGATCACACGCGGCGTGTTGGGGATCTGGTATTGGCGTGAAGACTCCATGGCTACGCGCCAGCAGGTGGGAAAGTAAGGAAAGGTAGGAGCCCGGATGACGCCGGAGAGAGTGGAGTGGGCCCTGGCACAGAGTAGGGCGATGTTTACCAGCAGGGACTGGCGATCCGAGGGTTGCGAATAAAGGTAATGAGGCTGGGTTGGCGCGTCACAGCTAACATGTGGGAGGGCGGCACTTAGGGTGGCTTCGACATTGATGTCAGCATCAGGCGTGATCAGAGGCTCATGGCCCGCGGATTCGTCCGGGCAGCGCGCATCGTTTAGGGAGGCAGAAGATGCCACAGTGCGTGCAGGCGACAGCAGCGGTCGTCTTATTTGTTATAGGCGGGTGAACAGGGAATGGGTCGGGGCGTGACGGCTGTAATCTTGCTGCATGAGCCTGGGAAATTTGGTCTCACGGCTACGCATGTATGATCCGGTCTCGCGAATGCGCCTATGATCAGCGTGGCGGCGGATCAGTCTTGGCGATGCCATCAGGTTCGAGAAAGGAGACACGGCGTCAGTGTGTCATTGCAGGCTCGCGAACTGGATGCATCATGTTCTGAGTAATCAAGCTTTCGTCAGATGCGCTCGAAGCCGTGACAGCTGACGACGACCCCGCGTGCTCTCGAGCTTCCAAGGTTACCTGCCTGTGAACGACAGTGTGGCGCGAAGTGGCCGTGCAGTGCTCCACTTTATTTTCAAAGTTCGCGCGACTTTTCTGTACAGCCGTCGCGACTCCAGCAGACATCTTCACGATATCATAGTGCATCATGGCGCCCCAAACTAAGATAGATCGTTCGTTCAGCGCATTAACGCCTGCCTTGTCAGAATGGATTCTCGAAGCTGTGGATTCCATGGGCTTCGTAAAGACCACGCCTGTGCAGCACGCAGCCATCCCCATGTTCATGAAAAATTCTGATGTTGTCGTCGAGGCTGTCACAGGGAGTGGAAAGACTCTAGCGTAAGGTCGTGCATTGCCAATCTTTATGCGCATCTAACAAGCTCCTAGTTATCTCATTCCCATCGTCGAGCGCTTGTTGCGACTGGATGCGCCTATAAAAAAGCATCACGTGGGTGCCATCATCATCTCACCTACCAGAGAACTTGCAACCCAGATCCACACAGTACTTTCGTCGCTTCTCAGATTTCATGCGCCCTCTGCAGCCTTATTGGATCCGGAAGATGAAGATACCGACATGGAAGACGCCGATGCTCCGCCAAAACCCACCTTTCCACCCGGGACGTTGAAGGTCATACCCCAGCTTCTTCTCGGAGGATCAGTAACGCCTGCTCAGGACCTGAGCAGATTCCTCAAATCATCTACCAACGTACTCATCGGCACACCGGGCCGACTACTCGAACTCCTTTCTTCACCACATGTCCATTGCTCACAATCGTCCTTCGATGCTCTGGTCCTGGATGAAGCTGATCGTCTGCTAGACCTTGGCTTTAAAGATGACCTGCAAAGAATTCTCTCTCGACTACCCAAGCAACGCCGAACTGGTCTCTTCAGTGCTAGTGTTTCTGAAGCTGTCGACCAGCTGATCCGCGTGGGTCTCCGTAACCCTGTTCGTATCGCTGTCAAGGTCAAGGCACGAGCGGCACCCAATAGTGCGACAGGGGAGATGGGTGCCATCGAAGACAAGAAAACACCAGCAAGCTTGCAGATGACATATCTGACCATACCAGCATCGCACAAGCTACCCGCCATCAAGAAAATCCTAAAGTCATTGGATCCGCAGCCGCAAAAGTCTATCATGTACTTGGCGACATGTTTCTCGGTCGACTACTTCCAACACATTTTACCTGAAGTTCTGAAAGGATACACCATCGTGCCCCTGCACGGCAAACTCCCGGACAAGGTTAGGAACCGCAACTTCATCAAATTCGTCGAAAGCGTCACACCGTCGATCCTCCTCACCACAGACGTCGCTGCTCGGGGTCTTGATATTCCATCAGTAGATCTGGTCCTCCAACTGGACGCTCCAAGCGATCCAAAAACCTTCATCCATCGTTGCGGGCGCGCAGGTCGAGCAGGCCGAAAAGGTCTAGCCGTTACGTTCCTCAGTCCAGGCCGAGAAGAAGATTACATCGAGTTCCTCCGTGTCCGACAGACCCCGGTATCGCCGTTAACAACACCTGAAGTCACAGTATCCGCGGAAGAAGCCACAGCAATGAGCAATCGGATACGAAAGGTGGTCAAATCCGACAGAGCACTATTCGACAAAGCCCAACGAGGTTTCGTCTCCTGGGTCCGCGCCTACAGCAAACACACCGCCAGCTCCATCTTCCGCATCCCCGATCTCGATTGGACTGAACACGGCAACGCCTGGGGTCTCCTCAAATTACCCAGCATGCCAGAACTCAAAAAGTGGGACGGAGACCGCAGTCTAGGCGTAGTCATGGATTTCAGCACATACGCATACAAAGACAAGACGCGCGAAGCACAACGACAGGTCGAGCAGAGCGAGTACGAAGCCAATAAGGCGGAAGGGAAGAAAGAAGGCAAGAAGCGATATGTCACGGAGGACAAGAAGGCATCGGCGTGGACGCAGCAAAAGGATGCGAAGGCGCTTAAGGAATCACGGAGGGAAAAGAAGGCTGCGAAGCGCGAACATGAACGTGTTGCGGCGTTGACGGAAGATGAGCGGAAAGAAGAAGAGAGGGTGAAGGGCATGATTGACCAGGTTAGGAAGAAGGTCGCAGAGAAAGAAGCCCAGGAGGCGGCGGATGAGTTTGAGGGCTTTAGCGATTGATTACCGGACGTCTACATGGAGTTTAAAATATTTAATCTTCACCAGGGGGAGGTACTAAGATATCTACTTCAAGTTTGGGAAGCTCAATCCTTGCTGGCAGGAGTCACTAACACGTCTACATGGAGTTTGAGGAGCTTCGTCTTTGGATGCGATTAATCACTAACATGTCTACATGGGGTTTGGGAAACTTCATTTCTTACTGTCATCAGGTATGTAGGTATCTGGCTTCTATGCTAACTTACAATCCTCCGGCGTAGGACCCATGTCGTCTTAAACACCATCCAGCCGATCGGCAATCTCATCCATATCCTCTCCCGCCTCGCCCTTTCCTCCCATCTTCTGCCTCCTCCTCCAGGCCTTCTTGCCCTCCTTTGCTTTCATCTTGTCCTTCATCGCCTTCTCCTTGGCCAGTGTTATCTTGGCTGCCAGACTACCCGCCTTGTCATACAGTATGCTGATCACATGCACGACGTCTTGAGCGCGGAGGAGAGGGTCTTTCGTCTCGTCGTCTTCCGCACCAGAGACGCGGGCGTTGACGGTGTCGACGAGGTAGCGGCGTACTAGGCTCGCGGAGCCGTGAGTGAAAGAGGAAAGGACGACTAGGAGACCGAGAACCTTGGAGGACATGTCGTTATCCTTGGCGGGCTTCATTGAAGCGGGTAGGAGCTATAGATAAGTCAGTATGAGTCTCAGTTCAGTTCAGACAAGGATCTCACTAACCATCTCCCATTTCCAAGCCCAATTCAAGAAGATCGCAATCCCAAGGTTGCGCTTGCTTTCCATACCGTCCGGAGCGGCACCGGCGACTTCCTTCAGGTCTTTTTGAATGTCGGCGTACGGGCGCGTGATCCGGATGGTGTTGTCCAAGACGAAACCTCCTGGACCTTTGCCGAGGCTCATGACGTGCGCGCACCTCTGATAGTCGTTGAGATCCTATGTATTTGGTCAGAGTTTGTTGATTGCGCTTCAGTAGACATCACTTACCTTCCACGGCAAGCCGTAACCGTCGACCCACTCATTGGACACCTCTTCTTCACCGTTGTAGAAGATGCAGTTCCTGGGTTTGTAGAACTTCATGATCTCGTCCTTTGACGCGGCGACTTGTACAATCTGTCCCGCTTCGCAGGCGCAGAGGTCGGCGATCGGTTGGGCGCGGATGTCGTAGACGGCGGCGTAGTCGATACTGAAGACTGAGCGAATGTCTTGAAGGAGCTCGCCATGCTTTTTGAAGGGCCCGACGCTGAAGTCGCTCTTGGTCTTGTCGAGGGAAGGGCAGTAGAGGGTCAACATGGTGGCGTTGATGTTGTTGTATACTCAGGGGAGCGCAGGGTGGTCAAATGGGTGGGCAGGTAAAGAGACGCTGGATTGTGAAGAGGGTTATCAAGCGAGAGTACAGGTCACGAGAGACTGGACGCGCTGGAAATCTCTTCAGGTCAAAAGTGAAGGCGAGCGTTTGTACTGTGCAACAGTACGTCACCTGCTGCCTTGGGAGCGCACTTCCACCGCCTCGCCTTCACTGCGCTCAGGGTCCAGAGATCTAGCGACTGATCCACTGTGATCACCCACAGGAATTCTACACTGTCTATATATCGCTTCCAATATCGTAGGTTTTCATAAGAACATTCCGGGTGGCTGAATGGGAACGACATCAATGAGTTTGAGATACTCAGCAATGCTCCTAGTAGGTCACAGCTTGAAGAGTCATCACGGGTTTGAGACACCTAACCTGGCATTGATAGCACCGATCAGAATATTCTTTTTGCTGCCGAGTTCGATTCTAGGTTCCGACATTGGCGTTTTCATTTTTGCCGTACTTAATTCGCGCACTTGTTCTTTGTCTTGTGCATGTTTGTGTGCTAGTCAAAATACGTTAAACCGGGAAACTTAATGTCTAGGTGTAGAAGCTTAGTTTATAATCTTTAGAAGATGTAAGGTATCAAAATCGCAACCATTGAAAATCATCATGCGCAAGTACTAGATTGTGTCCTTCTCCCCATATCACCCCTTCCGTCGCAAACCGCAAAGACCCAATCTGTATGAGCGGGAACAGCCGGTCACAGTTGCTTGCGTCAAATGCCTTAAAGTTGTTTGACGTGATCTGAAGAGTGTTGCGCATAGTGTTGTGTAACTTGCGGGCCTCTGCTTGGTCGACACGAAGCCTACGCGACAGGGTGATTGGATTATGGCCGTTTCCTCCGAGTGCTACCATTTTCGTTGGCGTACGCAGGTTTAGTATCATACGTTCGGTGTACAACACACTGAAATGAGGGTTGCCTTGGAATAAGAGATTCGCCAGCGTCTTCAGGAAAATGGCAATGTAGTCGAAGAGCTGTTTAGCAAAACAAGTCGGCGAGTGCTCCAACAAATGAGCCAGCTCATGCTCATGAGGAACAAAAGATTCGCGCGGCCCGTCTCGGAGGGGCTCTCTTGTGCGCAAGTCGACGTTGATAAGGAGTTGATTGATGGTAGGCGAAAGCGCCGCAAACTGAACCCAGCTCAACGAAAAGTACGGCCGGCCGTGCGAGAATGTGATGTCGAATTCATAGTTCAGGCGTTTTGCAGCGACCAGGTGTTGGATTGCTTGCTTGAACTCTCCGTGTGTCTGGCGACATACGCGGAGCAGCCCGCGATAACACCGAAGCGGTAAATCGTTCCTCACGTAATGCTCTGACACCACCATAACCCCGCGGAAAGAACGCCCCAACTCTTCATTTAGCAACACCTCGTAGACATGGTTTCGGAGTTCAAGTGGAAGATCCAAAAAGCCGGGCATGGTGTTGGTGACCAAAAAGTGCGAATGCGCCTGTCGAAGATCAGGGTCCAGCGGCAGGCACACGGATGTTCGGAAGCGAGACCGAAGGATTATTGAGTATGGTACAGGCCTGTACTCGCTGCTTGCGGGACCAGAGAATGGGGATGCGGGGGTGACGACAGGGAGCTGACGTGATCAAGGGAAGTTTGCAGAGAAGATTGAAGTGAGGTTCAGCCTTTTCGACGAGGTTCAGTGTTGTGAAACTGATCGGTCCGTGCTACCCACGTGATTGGATCTGGGCTCTGGGATTTGCGAGCGGGCAACGGCGGCGCGGCGACTGCATCGTCATCGCTAAAGTGGTGTCTTATCCAAGATGGCATCTTCAGCCGGCCTGACTGCTATACACACGCGGACAGCGCATCGCATATGGATGACTACGAACTGGATCGCGTCGCGTCGGATAATCCTGCTCTGACTGCGCCCGCGGCCCAGCGGGCTCCCATACGACGGCTGAAGTCTCAGGGCCCGACATCGACGTCAGCTGCTCAATCTACCGGTTCCAATACTACGGTCGCATCTGGGGAGTTGACGAAATACGATGTACGTTTTCAACACACGAGGCTTGGAGATGTACTCTAAACAAGCATAGGTGGGCTGGCGCAGGATTGTGAGGAACTTTTCGCCGTCATGGTTCTCCGTGACCATGGGCACGGGAGTAGTATCTCTACTTCTCGTCGCTATACCGTTCAAAGCAGACTGGTTATACTGGCTTGCGGTGATCTTCTTCGGACTCAACACCATCCTGTTTGCATGCGCCTTCTCAGTCTCAGTCTTCCGATACGTGGTATACCCTGAGATATGGACAGTCATGATCGCGGATAGTGTCAACTCGCTGTTCCTTGGAACCATTCCAATGGGATTCGCTACCCTCATCTCAGCCTGGTGCTCAATATGCATCCCATATTGGGGGCCCTGGGCCGTTACCTTTGCCTGGGTCTGCTGGATGATCGATTCCGTAGTCGCTGTGTCAGTCACAATATCGCTTACCATCCTGCTGATCTCCGCTTCTGATCGCCAGGCTTTAGATCGCATCACAGCAGCCCAGCTACTACCTATCGCTGCATCCATCGTCGCAGCCGGTACCGGCGCCAGAGTCGCAGAGCATTTGAGCAATCCGCAACATGCTCTCGGTACGATACTTGCTTCGTACATTATGTGGGGTATGTCTACACCACTAGCGATGACGGTTCTAGTCATGTACTACACACGCCTGGCTTTGCACAAGCTACCACCACGAGAGATTGTTGTGTCATCCTTCTTGCCATTAGGACCCCTAGGCATGGGCGGTTATTCCATAACCTATCTTGGTTTGGTTAGCAGACGGGTCTTTCCAGAGACGGATTTCTTCTCGGATATTCCCATGGCAGGCGACATCTTCTTCGTCTTCGGGGTCTTTCTGGCGCTCATCATGTGGGCGTTTGGGCTGACATGGCTCTGTTTCGCACTGGCATCCATCTACAAGTCTCGGCCGTTTCCGTTCAACATGGGCTGGTGGGGTTTCACGTTTCCCCTTGGGGTCATGGCGCTTAGTACAATGGAGCTTGGCAACGTCTTCCCGAGTCTGTTTTTCAGAGTTTTAGGGACGATCTTCGCCGTAGCCGTCATTCTGCTATGGTGCGTAGTAGCAGTTGGCACAGCACGCGGTGCATGGAGCGGTCGTCTGTTCAATGCGCCGTGCCTCAAGAACTTACCGAAGAGAGATTCTACGGGGAAAGATGAAGCAGAGAAAGAGAAAGGGCTAGTGCAGACATGACACTGAGTCACTATCATCGACACAAGAGGAGCGTATGTGTAGGTTTTATTGGGATCTCATAAATTGCGTTGCGTCTGATCGTAAGAGTATGTATGTGCACGGCCCCTCGTCGCGAAGCATCAAGCCCCTCGCTGACCGCTGAAGGACCTCCAGCATACCCCGGTTCGCTGCCTCAGAGGGTAATTCTAGTTGCCAGCGCCTGCAGCATCGCATTGTTCTACCACATGATTAGCATCCTTCCAAAACACTATGATCATCGAACTTACGCTTCTGAGCCTGGCAATCCTGAGTGGAGAAGTCACCCTGTCCACCATTGGCCAAGTTGGCACAGCCATTGAACTGTTGATCGCAAGAGCGTTGGAGAGCACCCGAAAGGTTGACGAAAGTGTCACCCTTGACGCTGAAAGGACGGTTCGCGATACCCGAGTCGAGGATAGGAGTGGCTGCGACACCGCCGAGAGCGCCGGTGAAGGTCTGCGCGTTGTTCTGGCGAACGTAGATGGCGCGTGCGTTGCTGAGAGCGGCAACGCTAAGGACGATGAGGGTGCTGGTGAACTTCATGTTGACAAATTGAAGTATTTGGAATGAAAGTGCGTTAAAGGGATGGGTATCTTAATATTGTATTGAATGAATGGGGCGGCCGAGCGCTGAAGAAGTGAAGTGAAGAGAATGAGATAAAGTGAACGTGAGATGAATGAGTGTTGGCTTGATGATGAGCTTCTCCCAGCGACATCCTTTCCTACATATATATTCCTATATTTGCCCCCACGGCGCCTACATCCAAATCTCCAGCGCTTCTCGCAAAATTACTAGGCGGAGTTGCAATGCCAGTGCCCGCCGGTGTTGGTGTTCCAAAGTGCTGCCTCAGGCACCTGAAACCCTGCAGGTCTTGGAGTCGACACACCAAATGCCTCATTATCTTCGAATCGGCTACGCGACTAAACAACTACACCATACAAGCTACTGTTAAGAGTCGAAATGTTTATAGCGCAGGTTTGACAGCTGGTGACAGCTGCTTACAGCCATAATCCTGGATTTCGCGAGCCGCGTGGGTATGGCGTCGTTTGTCTCGGTGTGCTTCATGTGGTGACTATAGCCGCGGCGCGACAATATGTGATACGTTATAGTGTTCGAGAATGTCGCTGGATGAATCGAGGGTTTTGTGGTGAGTTGCATCGACGCACATGATGTGGTATGTGGTATGTCGCGAGATCTGACGCGCGACCTTCTGAGGCATGATCAGCCATGACTGCGATTGATGATACGTGATGTACATTATTGTTCTTCTATGTCTTTCAGATATTGTCGGCAAGGCCGCTTTTCTACGACTTTGTAGGCTCATATGTAGAATCGTTTCCTGTCTAGCTTTCCTACGTTCCTGTCGGCTCTCGCAAATGCTATCGCGCCCACGGCCTCATTCGGACAGACATCTCCTATGCGCACAGGGTAGTCGCGCATCAACGCTGTTCTCGCCAATCCAGTCAAAGTGGTTCCTCCTGTAGGCGTTGGGACATAAGGATTCAAAAGCGTCAGCGAGGATGCATAGCCGATGATATCCGGTGCGATCGTGATGTACTTAAGTACGAGTCCGGTGTACGCGGCGGCAAGCAGTATGATTGAGCAAACCAATAATGCTGCGAACCATCCCCAATCGGTCTTGTACATTGGCGTCGTATCCTGCGATACATTGGCTTCGGTCGCGACAAATGTAATATTGGCGTCTGC